ACCATATTAAATGCACTGTTCAGAAAAAAAAACATTTAGTGCATGTGTGCATTTTACTGGTATGTATTTAAAGTAAAACATATGTATCTCATGTTACCTGTGGCTTCTAGACAGGTGCGGCCTATTTATGTAAAGTTTTAATTTTGTTTTTGAATTTAACGTGCGCGGCTTTTATTCAGGTGCGCTCAATGCTCCAGAAATTACAGTCATTTTATGAGAAGCAACGTTTTTTCAGTTGATGCGAAGTAAAATTAGATGTTTGTTTTTTCCACGACTGCAAATAAAAGGTTTGAAAGGCGCTCGTCACTTCTGGCACCTTTTGACAAACGTTTCACTTTGTTTCCTCGTTTATTGCGTAAAGATCCAGTTTCTGTTTCTGCAGCCGTGGGACGACAGAACCTTCAGACGTTTATCGTTTAGTTTCAAAGTTCAGTCGCAGCGAGGACTCCTTTTGGGTCGTGCGACGTTTAAAGACGCGTAAGAACAGTCCGTGGTGGTGATTACCCACAATGCACAGCAGCACGGTGGAGGTGGTCTGATGGTTTGGGCTCATCTTGCAAACATGAGACCTTTTTGTTAAATAACGGCTCGGTGGGACCTGCTCTGTGTTTTTGTTCACTTCCTGTTCGATCTGAATCCTTTCAGAGACCGGGGAGGAGCAGTTCTCTCCTGAATGATGTCCTTTCTGTTTCTGATCCTCCAGGAGTCCAAGAAGCGCTTCGACGAGGACGAGGACTTTAAGAAACGAGCGTACAGGTGCGTCGTCAGACTGCAGAGCAAAGAACCGGACTTCATCAAAGCCTGGAACATGATCTGCGACGTTTCCAGGAGAGGTGACTTCCCCTTTCTGTCCTCTGACGCTGAGAGTTTGTAGCTTATCAACAAACTTTATGGTGGATTTGATCAGAAATTCAAGTCTGTTTCATTAATAAATTGGTTTGAAAAGCTCAAGTAAAGAGTCTTGATGTTTTACAACTTGTCAGAGTTTCAGAAGGTCTACGACTGCCTGGACGTCAAGCTCATGGAGAGAGGAGAGTCGTACTACCAGGACCTGATGACCCGGGTGGTGAAGGAGTTTGAGGAGAGAGGTGCGTGTGCAGCAGAGCGCTTCCTTTTCATCTGAACCTTCTGTTTTAGCTCCATCTTCTGTGGAACTCCTTGTTTTCTGCTGCATTTCAAACTCTCATGGACCGGAAGTCGTTTTCAGATTCAGCTGCAGCTTCATGGCTCCACCACCAGGTGGTGCTGACGTCTCTCAAATATCTTTCAGCCGTTTCTCTGCTTCAGTTCAGTCCGTCTGTTTGACCATAAATTAACTCGTGATTTATTTGTGTTTTCATTTGTTTCCGTTCTGTGCCCGTTTGTCTCCAGGTCTGGTGGAGCTGGACGAGGGCCGCAAGATCGTCTTCGCCACCGGTCAATCTCTCCCGCTCACCGTCGTGAAGTCGGACGGAGGTTACACCTACGACACGTCGGACCTGGCGGCGCTGCGCCAGCGGCTCTTTGAGGAGAAAGCCGACATCGTCATCTACGTCACGGACAGCGGGCAGGTGGGTGGAGGCGTCGAAATTAAAACATGTTGACATGAAAACAGTGAGGGGGGGACCCCCCGTGGAAAAGATGATGCTAACCCTCAGGGGAAAATCTGCCACACATTTATTCTGCCCGAGTTTTGATTTATTTAATTTTTGGTGCGGTCAGTAAACACCATCGTTGTTGACAAAGCCCAAAACATTTAAAATTATTTAACTTTGTCAGAATAGTTTCAAACGCTTCTTAACCTCAGAACCTTTACTGCCCTCTAGTGGTCGTTAGGGGAAACTCACCACATGGAAATCCCTTTATAAATGCACCTTCTGGTCCCATTAATAAAATGTTTCAGTAACGTTTTATTTTTTACCTTTTGCACTTTACATTTTTACATTAGCTCACGCTGTTCTGTTTTTTATATTTTGAGCCTCTGAACAATTTTATAAAACAGATTTTTAACTTACGAGAGGTGCCCCCCCCCCCCGGCTAGGCGTTGCAGAGTTCTGCCTCTCATTACGTCCAACTAAATTATTTTAATTTGGATGTAAAGAGCAAAAAAACGCACGTTGCACAAACACGTTGTACAAAGAAAGCCGATCCGGCTGGAGGCTGAAGAATCGGACGCTTCGTGGCTGGAGTTCCCGATGACGTCGCTGCAGACCGATAAAAAAAAAAAGTTTTCAAACCGTCACTCCTGAAACAAAACTCTCGTTCGCAGGTGATAAATCACCAAATTTCATCGAGCAGCGTTTTGTTTTGAAGCTTCGGGAACGGAGAATTTATCGACTTGGTATAGAAAAGTTATTTATTTTGACCCGTTCTGCCAGAACGGGTCAGAACTGATTAACGTTTATAGTCAACCCAATTCAAGATGGCTGCCACTTCAGCCAACAACAAAACAGCTAATTATCAGCCACTTTTACAGACAAAGAGTTTAATTTTAGTCAACGTTTACTTTAAGCACTAACGGGTGGCTCAGAGGGCGTTTACAGCGTCCGTTTATTCACCGACCGTACGTTGGTTCGTCATTTCGCCCCGGTCTGAACGTGGTCCAGCTGCAGGTTCGTGCTGCAGCTGGAGAATACTGTAGTAATCAGGTACTCTGTGGAGTATTTGAATACACACATGCTACTACATGTGTAGAGCCCCTGAAAGACTCACTTTACTTTTACTTTTATAAAGCTTGGCTTTGCAGACTTGAGTCTAGAAGTGACTGAAATATGAGCAGATGTCACGGGTGACCTTCTCACCTTCGGCTGTTTTTCATGCTGCAGAGCACCACCTCTGTTCACGGTTTCAGCTGCGGGGGCGTAAAGGAAGCTGCCTTGAACTTGTCATTGTGACAGGACATTAAGCCGGCTTGTCTCTGTTTGTCTTCCCTCCCTCAGGGCCCGCACTTCCAGGTGGTGTTTGCTGCAGCCCAGATGATCGGCTGGTACGACCCCCGGGTGACCCGGGTGGAGCACGCCGGCTTCGGAGTGGTGCTGGGGGAGGACAAGTGAGTCCACAACAAAAACATAGCTGTCCTCTGTTGCTGCTGCAGATATCTGTCATTTTGCCAGCATCTCTTAACCTCTGCAGGTAGAGAGGTGGGAGAGCAGTGCGCTTCTGTCTGTTAGCAAAATATCTCAGGAGCCAGTGGGTCGATTGTAATGAAACTTTTATCACTGGAGTAACTGCTGCTTTACATTTAGTGCTAATGTAACTGTACACCCAAACATTCAGCACGATAAGGACGTTGGTGCTCTGACTTTTTGTTTGTTACTTTTGTACTGTTCAGAGTATTATATTTTCATATACAAATATTTTTTCCTCCCAAAAATACATCAAGATATTTTCAGATCCTTTAAAAACATCTTTAATATCTGATTCAACACACCTGGTATTTTTACTATTACTACTACTGCTGCTTATTTTTCATTCAGCCTTTGTTTCACTGTTAATACTACTATTGGTAATACTACTACTGTTGATACTACTACTGTTAATACCACTATTGTTAATACTACTACTGGTAATAATGCTACTGTTAATACTGCTACTGTTAGTACTACTACTGTTAATACTACTACTGTTAATACTACTACTGGTAATACTACTACTGGTAATACTACTACTGGTTATAATGCTACTGTTAATACTGCTACTGTTAGTACTACTACTGCTGCTAATGCTACTACTACTGCTGCTAATGCTACTACTACTGCTGCTAATGCTACTACTGCTGCTAATGCTACTACTGCTGCTAATGCTACTACTGCCGCTAATGCTACTGCTATTGCTACTACTGCTGCTAATGCTACTACTGCCACTAATGCTACTGTTATTGCTACTACTGCTGCTAATGCTACTACTGCCACTAATG